CATAGATCTTCTTGGTCCCTTCCCCCAGAGCGAGTTAAATAAAAATCGTTTTCTTTTAGTAATAGTAGATCATTTTTCAAAATGGATAGAAATTGTTCCACTTAAACGCGCGTCAGCCAAAACAGTCGCAGATGCATTCTTACACAGATACATTTTAAAATACGGTGCACCGATAAAAGTCATTAGCGATAACGGAAAACAATTCATTAGTCAAATATTTGAAAACATATGCAATGGACTTGGCATACGCCATATCAAAATGGTTCCGTATAGACCACAGGCTAACATAGCAGAAAGAGTTAATAAAAACATTGTAAAAATAATTCGCAGTTACGTTAGCACACATCACAAGCGCTGGGATGGCTACATAAATGAATTAGCTTATGCTTTAAGAACGGCAACATCATGATACTACGGGAAAAACTCCAGCAGAATTATTTTTAGGCAGAAAGTTAATTACGCCTTTAGATAAATTATTCTTTGTGCAACAAAGAGAGCAAGAATTTAAACAAAAGATGTGCAAAAACTATTGATCAGGCGCTTAAAAAACCTCGGATACGGCAAGAAATAGGCAGAAAATTATATATGATAGAAAACGCCGTGAAGCAGATTTTAAAGTTGGGGGATAAAGTATTGAAGCGGAAATTTTCTTTATCAAGTGCCCCAGACAATTTTATGGCAAAGCTAGCTCCAAAGTTTGAAGGCCCCTATGTAATTCAGGAAATCAAAGGAGTAGTCTTATATCTTAAGAACGAGAGAGGGGAAATCTGTAAAGCAAGTCCCGACCAGGTGAAAAAATACTATAATCCAAATGATTTTGAAATCCTTAAAAGTTTCTTGCAGGACTCAAGTCTAAACGAAATAGAAGGGCCAGAGACAACTATTCCACCACCCAAGAAACAGAGAACTGAAGAGAGACCTAGCACATCTACAACCCGGACGTCGGTATCAAAAAGAAAAAAGGATTTTCAAACTCCAGCGTTTAAGAAAAACAAAAATACAGATGAACCGGGTAAAGAAACCGTGGTAAAGACGAAAAACACCACCTACAAAAGATCGCAGGAGAAATTACACATCAAGGAGAACGCGCACACGGCCACAGAGTCAGGTGCCAGCAAGGCCGCCGTTCCGGAAACTGAAACGCCAACAGGAGGCACACAAAATACGAGGAACAGAAGAAATTCAAGGACTCCAGACCGGAGGACGTCAAGACCAGCCGTCCCAGGGAAGAAACGGAAAAGGCCAACAACCAGACGATTACTCCGTCAAGAGGCCAGCATGTAGAGGACGCAAAAGAAAAGCAACGTGGACGACACTCGGAGATCAATAAGGAGAAGATTGACATCCATGAAACCTCTAACTTGGGATCAATTTTGCCAAAAACGGATGACGGAGTTTCAAGCATCGAAAACTCAAAGATAAGTTAAAACCTTCTATAAATTTTTTTCTCTTTTGTTCCGAAATGTTATGCATAAGTACGAAGTTCTATGTTTTGACGAAAGTCAATATGTCTCGGTTGAGACTTAGTTTTTTGTTTTACTTTATTTAGCTAAGGCAAAAGTATTATTTTCTTTAAGTGTAAAAGCTAAAAACAAGCATTTTCTGTTGGTCGAAAGACTAATTCTGTTATGTTAAAGCCAAAATTTGGCCGAAGATAAAAATAACTTCGTATTCTTGTATTAATAAGAATTTTAGTTTCAGTGCCGCCAGCTTGGCGAAGAATGAGTAAAGTAAAAATTTATTTTCTCTTATTCATTTTATGGTAAATTGTAAAAATCATATGTATTAAATTTTGTAAATGTACGTAAATACTTGAATGTTATGTAAAAGTAGAATTTAGTCTAGAAGCATAAAATTTTAGATGCTAAAAGTGAATGCTTAAAAGCAATGAAGTCAAAATTTAAGTATTAAACTGTAAAGTCATGCTTTAGAGCGAAAGCCTGCATGTTTAAAGATGAATGAGGGGGAAGTTAGAATGAATGTGTTTTGTAGGGTTCTCCACCTACATTTGAATTTTTAAGAATATTAAAGTAGCTCATTGAGTTGTAGAATGTCGAGTAAGGTGTGTCTATTTGGTCGTTGAATTCTAACAAATCATGGTGGTTAGGGGAAGTGTTGTAAGACTAAAACACGAATATTCCCGTTTGACACCACACATGGTGGAGAGCCAGGGTAAAGTTAAATTAATGCTTGAAAAATTGAATGAATGTGAAGTAAGCAATAACTAAGAAAAACGAATCGTTTTAAAAACAAAAATTTATTGTGTCAAGAAAGTGTAAATTATAATGTATTGTAGAAAGATACTGATACTTATTCCTTCCAGATGCTGGAAGGAAAGACCAAGATTGATTGATGAAGTCCAGGAAAAGTTGCTGTAAGAAGAAAGCTTTGTAACGATCAACAGAAATTTTAGTATATAATTGTTACATAAGATTTTTTTTGTGTAAACGAGGCTTTCGCCAGTTAGTTCAGAATTAGATAAACTTACAACAGGTCGTTTGTAGGACCTGCTTCCAAGTTTTCCAAATTCTGGCAGCGGCAAATGTAGGGTTTATATTTATTTTAACTAACATTTATTTTAAGTTTTAAACTATCTTTCCTGTCAAGCCTTACTTTCCCCTGGAACTGCCAATGCCAGAATATGTAAATTTAGTAGAACGCGCAAGGATTCAAATTATCAGCGGAAGTATTCTGATTTAAATAGAAGGAAACGAGTTCGGTGAGAGTTATTCTTACTTACGCGAGCGCGGAGGTAGTTAGCGAGAATTGAAGAACCCCGCGTTTGCGGCCTATGTGCTTGGCGGGAAGTAGTTGCAATTGTTCCAGTGAGCTTCAAGTTCTGCTGAATTAGCAGCGGTATTTGTAAAACGCGGTGAGTTAGTTATTTTAGAGAGCCTCGTAGTTAGAATCTTGTCTTTACTTTCTTTTCAGGTTATTATTTTTATTTGACTGCCGAGTTGGCACAGTTCTGTAAGCGTCAAGAGCACGCAATTGTAATTTATTACGTTGAATAAAAAGGGACTTAAACCCTTTATAAGACTCTGTGGTTTATACAAGCTTTCACAGTCACCTCTTGGTTGCGTGCAAGTTAGAGGCGCGCAACGTTATAACACAAATAACTAAAATTTATTGTTAAATTCATGCAAACGTATCATTATAATTGCCATGGCAAAATTCTATGCCAAATTGAATCTGATATTTGAATCACATAATTAAAAGGTCGGATACATTAATTTGGTCAAGTGATTTCAAGATTAAGTTAAGAATTATGCAGCCATTGTCCACTAGATAAACGGTATATTGTAATTTAAAATAATAGGTTCTTTGAGAAACAGAGTGGAGAATTTTTGTTGAAAATGATAAGCAATTACTTGAGAAAGGAACACCAGACTCTTGTGAAGCAAATGCCGATTATTGAAGACAAAAAAATGCGAGTGTATAACGGAAAAGTCCCATTTTACATAAGCATAAAAATATTCACAGATAGAAGCTTATTTCAGTCATGACTCTGGCTCGAGTTGTGCAATATTATTTCAAAGAATGTTGAAGAACTAAACGATTCAAACAAACTGAAAAACAAGTAAAAGATTTGTTAATAGTACATTTTCTGTCATAAAAATTAAACGTAGTCCTTGCATACAAAAATAATGAATTTAGTAAACAGTATACACGAGATTTGGAGACATTATGAGCAGTAAACGAGTTATTTTGGTGTTGGCAACAATTTTAAAAGTAGCGTGAAAGCCGTACCATACACTAGAATTTTACCAAAAAATGTTCCAAGTTTATACTTTACCTACTTTGATAACCTTCCTCTAATATGCAGTAAAAGGCAAGTATATTATATATAAACTTGAGTATTTTTCTGCTATTTGAGTTTGGATTCAGAAATATATGTATATATGCATGTATATGTGTATATATGCAGTTTTGCAAGTATGTATGTACTTCTGTATATATGTGTGTATATATACGCACACGTATACACACATATATACATACTTATATGGATAAATAAGTACATTTCTGAATTTTCTCCAGATAACAGAAAAGTACCTAATAATTCGAATTTTTAAAAAAGACTTAAAGCATATTTCTGTTAAATTTTTAAACACTTTCTAATTTTTAGTTTCACAAAAGCCAGTCTGTCAAAAAGATATTATGTATGTACAAATTTGTTAAATTCTCTTTCTTTCCTAAACCTTGGAAGAAATGTTACTCAAAATGTGCCTTTCCAACTCACATTATTTATTTAATCAAACTTCTAGACTTTAACTTTCTATATTTCTCAAAAATCTAGTCTTTAAATTATATTTTTGAGCTTTCTTGAGTAATTAATTAATAATGCATGAAAATGATAGAAGCATTATTTGCTTGGTTTAGTATATTTATTTGCATACTTTGCCATGCTTCTATATATTTTGACTGTCAATTTAAAAATCCAGGAAATATCAAAATTTTGTTTTACATGTGCGTGTTTAAGCTTGTACGTATACCAAATCAGGATTCGAGTTACCTTAATTTGGAGAATTTGAATTTAAAAAATAGTTTTAAAAAATTAGTTTTTTCAGCAATTTTAAACGGTTTGGGAATTTACCGATTTGATTTTCGTATCACTATTTTCTTTTGTTAAACATTAAGAAACTTTTTAGTTAAATGTTAGTTTACCAATTCACCTTATTATTCTGAATAATTCAGAAAGATTATTTATTCTTATTCCCAAACTAATGTTAACGTAAGGCGTGAAGAGTTTTCTTGAAATTTTCATACTGAAACGGTGTTATTGTTAATTGCTTCATTTATTGTGCTGCTGAGTCGTGAAACAAGCTTCTTGCATTCAATGTGGTCATCGGTGTTTCTTTTTTTTTAATCAGTCAGCAAAGCTTAATTTTTATGGAAGTAATTTTAATGCAAAATCATTCTTATTTAATAAAATATGTAGTAATGAATTTTAAAAAAAGTTGATTTTTAGTTATGATTATTTAATCATTGTGCAACCGAACAAATTTCAAGAAGTTCTTGATGTAATCAAGTGAGTGTTTTCTTCTCGATCAAAGATCTATAACGAGCAATAACTTCGTCAAGATCGCCATAACAACCTTCCAAATGACGGAATGCAAAATTTGGGTCAAAACCATTTTGACCGTGAAGAACCCTCATGTTATTAAAAATAATCATATCACCTGGTTTCATTATGAAAGTAAACTGATACTGTTCATCTCGTAGTTTTTGACCAAACATTTTATACGCCTCATAGAAAGAGATAATATGGTCTGCAGGACCCTCGAATGGAGCCATAGTTCTGTTGTTATAATGAACCTCAGCTACTTCACCTTTCCTGTTCACACAAATAATGTACTGCTCATTTTCATAATGTAAGCCATGGCCATATATTTTAAATTTTACGGGTGTTGTTGATAGAATATAATAGAAAGCAGGGTTTTCTTTCTTTAATAAATTAGCAACATGATAACCGTCTACGAAAACAGATTTTCCAGGACAGGAACTTGATGCATCTTCATATATGGCATTCAGACAATGTACAGCTTGTATCGCTGGGGATTTTTCGAGATAGTTCATATCTGTATGAATCTCCAGTTGTCTTCTAGTGTAACGTAAATGATTTGGATCGGTCTGAAGAGGCTGAGTGATAATTTGGAAATTAGTTGCCCACTTAGTATCCATTGTGAATGCAAACTTCTTCATAATTTTCATTACTTCCCCTTTTGCACAAGGAACTCCTCTGATAATGACAAGACCGTAGTGATATATATTTTCTAAAACATGCTTCAGTCCGTCCTCTGATTCCATTAAAAGCTCATAAGTTAGTTCTGGGATACATCCAAGGATTTTATTCCGATCCCAGGTTTTAATAGGAGGTAAAACATTGTGCACACTCATGTTCATATTTAATTGAAAGCCAAGGCCATACTTATGCAACCACGATGGTTTGTAAATACTGACGTGTTCTTTATTGTTCATAGTTTTCCACGTTATTTTTAAAGATCCATTATCTATCACATGAAATTGCTCAGGTTCTATACTAAAATCCAGTGCTATTGTATCTAAAAGTTTCTGCTTGCTTTCGAAATGAACACATTGGTCACAAGGACAGTTATCACGTAGCCATACGAAAGGAAATTTTGCACTAGTGCTGTCCTGAAATTCAATGCATAAATTATTTTGTTCTGCCCGAAATGCTTTAGATATTGAAAATGGAATATTGTATACGAAATTACATGATGACTTATGAAAGTTGACATTAGCCTTTGTAAAAGTTTTCAAAGAATTGCACAATCCTTGCTGAATAGTCTTCCGCGACATAGTGCGTAAAACGCTTAACCAAGGCATGATATGTAAAAATGATAGTTAGAAAATATCAAGCAAATTCAAGTACATAAACTAGTTTATAAAACAGTTTCATAGCTATTTAAACCGCTGTAACTCACAACTGCACGATGTAAAATGTGTGCAGATTATGTTGCAAAGTTCTGCTAATAAAACTCAACAAAACATGCGAGTTTCAAATGCAATAACAATTTTAATTAACAATTAAGAATTCAGCTTTAATCATCACCTTTTTGCAATATTTAGTAGCGAATATGCGACAAACAGGTCCCTAAATAACTGGATGTAAAATTGTCTATAAAAATACGAGGGGAAAAAATTAGCAAATTCAAAATGCAAGTATTGTAAATGAATTGAAACGCATGAGGCTCCATACATTTCATGCTTTAGAAATTTAAAATTTGTGAAAAATTTGCATGTGTTTGTAAGATGGCAAAGATTGTGCAATAATTAATATCGTTTTTTAAACTTAGCTATTACTTCACCTAAAACTTTCTACTTACGTTTTTGTTATTACTTTCCTTTTTTGCTGAATGGCAACAATCATTACTGTTTTCAAATAAAAATATGCTTTCGTTTTTACGTAATGTTTAGAATGCAGTGTTCTCAGATTATTTTAATGTTGTTTATGTTAGCAATGCTAATTTTAACTGAATAAATACTTGTTTCATTCATCTGGAGAACTTGGAGTTCATTTGAGTGATTAGAAAGGCGTCCGTAACTTTTGATTGCAGCTTGTTCTTTACATTTTCGGGCGTCCGTGACAGAACGTTACTTCTGATTCAAAACAATGTTTCAGGTAGCAAAAGGATTTAAGAAAGAGGACTTGTTGTAGAACATGAAGAAAAGCAAAAACAAATAGAATACCAATACGAAGAACAAAGACAACACAATATGTAAGATAAGACAAAAAGATAAGACAACACAAAATGGAATTGGCGCGAATTTATGCGAAACCGCCGATGGCAGGTGAGTCTCAAAATTATATTTTCTTCACTGGATCTAAAAAGAAATTTAATTTACCGAAATTAGAGATTAGACACTATAGTGGTGACATTAGGGACTGGCTACACTTTTGGAGTCAGTTCCAACAGATTCATAATGCTGAAGAAATTGTATCTGAAATTAAATTTCAGTACCTTATTCAAGCTTCTGTAAGAGGATCCAGAGCACGAGAAATTATAGAAAGCTTCCTGCCTATAGGAGCCAATTACAACGAAGCAGTTGATAGTCTCAAAACTCGGTTTGGAAGAAATGGACTTTTAGTGAAGGTTTATGTTAGAGAGTTGTTAAAATTGATACTTTCGGTTCAAAAACACGAACACATTTCAATGGCATCTCTGTATGATAAACTCGAAACATATCTTAGAGCACTAGAGGCACTGGGAGTGATTACTGATCAGTGTGTTTCGATACTTTATACTATAGTTGAATCTTGTTTTAAAGAAGAGTTCCTAAAAGCATGGAACAGAAGTGCTTTTTCCGCAATTTCAACTGATGCTAAGGAACGGTTGACCAATTTGATGTCCTTCCTTAAGGCTGAAACTGAAGGGGAAGAAAAAATAAATTTAGCCATGCCAAGTTTCGGTTTATGTTCAAGAGAAAATCACCAATCTTTAAAGAAAAGAGTACCTACAGCTGCCAATTTACTCTCTACAGCTTCAAAGGATGTGAAGAAAGCATGTATTTTTGGTTTACGGAAACATGCGAGCATGCTGCTTCGCTTTCCTGACAGCTGGACATCCAGTTCGTAAGTGCAAAGTGTTTCTGAAATGTGTGGTATGTGGTAAAAAAACATGTGAAAGAAGCAAAAGAAATATTTTAGCTGTTTTGCACAATGTTTTTGATCCTCTCGGCATAAACTGGTCCAGTAACATTGCGTCCAAAACTCTGGCTACAAAACATGTGAAAATTAGTTCAGATGAAGTAGTTGATACAGAGACCCATCAAGTTTTTTTTTTTTTTTTAAATGGCTAAATGAGCTTAAATATTTGCAACACGTTAAGATTCCAAGAGGGTTCCACTGTGATGAAGGATTCGAGCACATTTTATTACATTTTTTCAGGGACGCGAGCAAAATTGCTTATTCGACTGGAGTCTTTATGCGAGTTGCTAGAGGAAGCATTGCTCATGTACAACTGGCACAGAGTAAAATTAGAATTGCTCCTTGTGGGAAAACAGAAACAACAATTGCTAGGCTGGAACTTCTTGTTCCTACTGTTTCTGCCCGTCTTTCCTCGGAGATCCTAAAAGAGTTTCAAACTGACAATGTTTATTTCTGGACTTACTCTACAACAGTATTAGCTTGGTTAGAAAGAGAAGACTCGTGGGTTGTATTTATTCGGAACCGTGTTACGTAAATTAGGAATCTGCCACATGGTGACACGTTCCCGGATGCTTTAAACCCTGCAGGCCAATAGTGGTTGTTCAGCGCAGCAGTTATGCAATTAAAAATAGTGGGAAGATCCTAATTGCTTGTATCTTCCACCTCGTCAATGGCCAGGTACCGAGACAGAACTAGAAAAATGAATAAAAAGTACTTAAAGAGAAAAGAAAAGAAATCGTGCCTGCTTTGGCAAATATTCAAGTAACAGAAATCTGGAGCGGTTATTTTTCCACCTATAATAGAAATATCAGAGTAGCGGGATGGATTCTGTGTTTTCTCCATAACATTTCACACGAAAATAAGTTAAAAGGTAACTTGAGTTTTGAAGAATTAAAAAAAGCAGAAGTTCTCTTTTTCAAGTCCATACAGTTAAGGACTTTTCAAGACGAGAAGTTTCTTACGAAAATGCAAGCCTTTAGAGATAAAGAAGGACTCCTGAGAATAAGAATTAAACTTGTGAACAGTTCCTGAAATAGATGATTTTAGATACCCAGTTCTCTTACCTGCCTGTGATGTCGTCCTCAAGTTAATCCGTGAAGAGCATGAAAAAATAATGCATGCAAGTCCTTCAATCTTACTTGTCAGGTTTAGGGAGAGGTTTTGGATTCTTAAAGCTAAAAAGTTAGTAAAACAAGTTCTTTCGAAATGTGTAACGTGCAAGCGTTACAGATCTAAACCCTTGGAAGTACCTTTCGCTCCGATACCTAGAGATAGAGCTACTCAGACAAGAGTCTTTGAGGTATCTGATGTGGATTATGTTGGTCCTCTCTACCAGAAGGTAAAGCTTGGTTCGTATTATTCACTTGCGCTGTATACCGAGCGGTCTATTTAGAATTAGTCCGGTCACTCACTACAGATGCTTACATTCAAGCCTTAAGACAATTTATTGCAAGAAGTAGGATTTCAGTTCTTTGTTCGGATAACGGCTCTAAATTTGTAGGAAGAAACATTGCATTAGAATCCTTAGATTGGGACAAGAAAGCCGTTTACTGAACAGCTCAGAAAACCACTTGGAAATTTGCTCCACCCACATCCGCATGGTGGGGTGGGTGGTGGGAGCGGATGGTAAGAATGCTCAAGAAACTTCTGCGTAGAGTGTTAGGAAAATCCACCGCAGATTATGAAGAGCTCAACACGATCATGTGTGACTGTGAATCAGAAATAAATCCTAGACCTCTGACCTACACACAAGAAGACCCGTGTGAATTGGTACCACTGACACCAGGAATGTTTATCCACGGAGGCAGCAACAGCGAAACTCCAGATCTTGACAGCGTAGATCGATCTTCCTTTATAAAACGCATATAGTACTTGCAGACGTTACGTGAAAATCTTAGACAAATGTTTAGAAATGAGTACGTTGCTCTTTTAGTCCACAAATTGAGGGGATATTGTTCTAACTGGGCATGATCATGTCCGACGCATCGATTGGCCACTGGGAATAATTTTAGAAATTTATCCTGGAACAGATGGTGTTCAGAGAGTTGCGAGAGTAAGAACCTACAATGGTGAGAGAGTACGTCTTTTTCAAAGACTCTGTCCATTAGAAATGTTGGCAAAAACTGATGTTGATGTCTTGAAGGCTTCTAGAAAATGTGTCTTATCTGTCAAAACTGTTCCCGACTCTTCCGTGCACAACACTGATACCACTGAAGTGAGACACCCTCCCAAAACTAGATCAGGAAGAACCATAAGAATGCTTCACCGAATGAATTTGTGAACATTTTTTTTTCAACTTTTGCAATTGTATAGGACATTCACAATTTTAAAATTATACATATTCTAAATTTTAATTGCAAAGTTCAGGTTGTAAATTTCACTTTCCAAAATGAAAGTATGTTAAAGATTGTACAATAATTAATATCGTTATTTAAACTTAACTACTACTTCACCTGTGATTTTCTACTTGTGTTTTTGTTATTACATTTCTTTTTTGCTGAATGGCAACAGTTATTATTGTTTTCAAGTAAAAATATGCTTTCGTTTTACGTAATATTTAGAATTCAGTTTTCTCAGCTTATTTTGATGTTTTTTTTTTATGTTAGCAATGCTAATTTAAGACTGCATTCTAACTGAACAAATACTTGTTTCATTCATCTGAAGAACTTATAGTTCATTTGAGTGATTTGAAAGGCGTCCGTAATTTTTGATTGCAGATGTTCTTTACAATAAGATGTATAAAGTTGTAAAGCTATATAAAGTTGTAAAGACGATGCATTTCCTGCTAATATAAAACTTATCATCTGCACATATTTTCATCTTGTCTCGTTCGTGAAATAACCAGTCACGAAAATTAATGATACAATAATTTAATTTGATTATCTTAAGTTTACATTACACCTGGACATCACCGTAACTTGAGCTTTATTCTGCGAAGAGAGTTCTATGAAATGGAATTCCACATTTGGAGACACGGCACGGAATGAGCCTTGAAATCAAAGGATTGACTCGTATAACTAATAAAGGATTTTGATATGCGACTCTGGAACGATCTTCAAGTTGTAAATTTATTTTCGAGTAAATTTACTTTCGATTCATTCGTTTTCCTACAGCTATTTTTAAGACTAGTGAATTTTATTAGTAAGTAAGATGAATATATTTGGCTCTATTTCTAGAATTTCTTAATCATTAAGAACTGATCCAAAAACATCTGT